TGAGCTGAGCCAAAATCAAGAGTCTGATTCTTAACCGACTGAGCCACCCAGGCTCCTGAAATGTTATAGACTTTTTAAGGTTCTTGATTCTTATTACCTAATTGCTTCCTTAAAAGCTTATACTTAGTTTCCAACCTGCGGTGTTGAGAGTAACTTTCACTGCACCAGCACCTGCGTAAAATAGTACCAGTAAAGCATTTAGTGATTTGAGAGCCAATTTTCATTTCTTCCATTGTAACTAAGGTTGGATGAATTTAGGATCAGTCAGGTTCAGTAGCAGGGAATAGAATTCACCCGATCCAGTTTGCGGAGATTTGTTTTATGAAAACGTGCTTCACACAAGAGACAGGCTGGGGTGGGCTCTCACAATAATTCTGAGAGCTCCCCATGGAAGGGGGTCATAGAAAGACTTGCTGTGCGAAGACACCATGGCTGGTGAGTCTCTATGGGAAATCCAGAGTCCACTACAGCGTTTGCCAGTGGAAACTGCAGAAAAAGGACAAAAGACAACCTTGTTCCACTTCCATCTTCTAATAGAAATCTCACCTGGAACCCCAGTTGTTAGGTAGTCCCATAAATGCAGTTTTGAGATTCCTAGCTTCTGGGGTAGAGGAAGATCCGTGAGAAGGAGGGCAGAACGGAAGGATGTTTAACTGTTTGTGATGTTTGTTAACCTGTTGCATGGCCTCTTAAATGAGTTGTCTTTAGTTTTGTTTTGTTTTTTAGAGAGCGAGAGCAAGAGGGAGAGTAAGAGTGAGAGCACATGCATGTGAGAGCAGGGGGAGAGAGAGAGGGAGAGAGAGAATCCTAAGCAGGCTCCACACCCAGCCCGGAGCCCGACTTGGGGCTCAATCTTTTGACCCTGAGATCATGACCAGAGCCGAGACTAAGAGTCAGACTGGCTCTTAACCAGCTGAGCCACCCAGGCACCCCTTAATTGTCATTTTGTAACCTTTTCCGGGCTAACTTGTAAAAGAAGTTGCCAGAGACAAAGACATGATGTCATTATTTCTAAGAAGCTTATGGCCTCACCCTTAGCACAGCTGGAGGCCAGGCGAAAGTGGGCAAGAGCAGGGATGACCCGTTGGCTCCTTACTGCAGGGGGTCCAAAGGTGTAAGGTGGGTTTCTTTCTACACCTATCAATGAAGACTTAAGCACATAAAATAGATAATTGCTTGCTGTATTGAATACAATAGTATGGTAATTCAAGTATTATTATCTCTTCCTGTGACACTGGACCTTATTCATTCATTAACTTCTTAAAAAAGAAGTATGATCATTAAAACCTGATAGCTACACAGGGGATCAGGGATCGTAGAAAGCCTACAACAGCCTCTTTTCAGAGCTGATGTGAATTCAGAAGCCATCGCCCAGGGCCACCAACATTTCCTTTCCAGAGAAATCTCTTTCTAGTCATGTCTTTTTGTCATCCGAGTTAGCAGATAAGATTGAATGATTTTGCCTGTGGGTAATAGGCTTTTACTTTGAGGGCTGTTTGGAAGAGCAGCTAAATCTTATAAAGTCGTGGATTAATTGAAGAAAAGTGGGAATAAAAACCTGTTGCAAAGACAAAAGATTAACAGTTTCATTTCAAAGTCGTCCCCCCCCGCCCCCGCAAGCTTTTGATTTGGGAGCTGACTCCTAACCCATGACTTCTTTGCGATTGCACCATATTGGCCTGCACACCTAGAGGAGGGGTTCTGGGCTCTGAGCTCTTCTTTCCAGCTGCTCCTGTCTAAGAACCAGAGGAAAGTCCCTGGACTGAACATGTTCAGATATTCATGAATGATGGGAACAAATTTAAGTGAGTTGATGTTTCCTCTCCAGTGTCTGCTGAAAGTAAATTGGGTGACATCTGTTGGTGGGGGGAAATGGAGAAGGGACCATCCTATATAGACCCTAATCCCTTAAGGAAGGGACTTTAAATTCTGTTGTTAGGAAGACAGAAGATCCTCTCCTCGACAACCTCCACACTTTGGGTATTTTCAGCCATTGTTTCTGGTTTCCCATAGTCAAGGGCAAGAACTGAGCTTTGAGGGCAGACTGGGTTAAGGTAAGGAGTGGGAAAGAGAGAGGAGACCCAGTTAGGGACATGTCACTTGTGGGAAGAAGAATAACCGCCTTGTGGGCAATGCTAACTTAGTTGATTTATACCAAGAAGATGTAAATACCAGGAGGAGAGAGTTCCTTCTTTTCTAAAGCAAACTGGTGGTTTGGGAACAGCTACAACCGTTAACTACCATATATTTCGGATTTTCCAGAGCAGTCTGGATTTTAAATATTTGCTTTCGTTATCCCCGTAAAACATCAAAATATTCTGGAAATGTAAATATTTTGACAAGCAGTTAACTCAGTTGAAAGCATTACAAATTCGTGAATTCATGCTGTTGGTCCTAAGCATGAAGTCAAGGACCTCACATGGAAAGCTCTCTGTCCCTGACGAGAGGCTTCTGGGCAGCACGGAAGTCATCAATGGGTTCTGGCACTGAAAAGCCTCTTCTGAAATGTAAATTAATTACGCAGAGACTTGTTAAGAGATGTTTGCAAGAGGTGTGGGAGGGGGAAGGAAAAATAAAGTATGACTGAACAAATAACGTTCTTCTCACAAGCCTGGGTTAGGAAATATGCTAGCAATTTCACAAGCAGATGAATGAAAATGAAAGTAAGTTTCACACTCACCGGTATGTGCTTTTTTGCCGTATTTCACATTTTTCATTAATTTTTTTTCTCTTTTAACAAGGCAATTTCAAAAATAGATGACTGATTTAATTGTTAAGTTTCTGTAAGATTTTTCACCTAAACGAGATCAGAAATCAGAGAAAGTTCTCTGGGTGAGGAAGCCACATTTGCGAAAAGCGGGGCATTTGGGAGCCGGCAGCAAAGCCTGTCTCTGGCACTTGCCAGATTTGCAATGAGTTACTTAATGTCTCGAAGACTCAGGTCCTTTGTTTGAAAAACAGGGGAAGTAAATATCTCATAAACTTGTGTGAGGGTTAAGGGATTGTAAAATGCTGGACCCATATTAGATAATCAGTGAATGATCGCTGCTAGGGGCGCATGGGGAGGCTTAGTCTGTAAAGCCTTCGACTCTTGATTTCTCAGGTCATGATCTCAGGGGCGTGGGTTTGAGCCACTGCGCTGGGTGTGGATCATGCTTAAGATTCTCTTCTCTCCCTCTGCCCCTTTTTCTCTCTCCTGTTCTAAAAATGAACCAATAACTAATAGCTGCTTTGTACAATATTAATAATAAAAACGTGAGCAAAAGTCTTTGAGAGTCTGTACGAGTTTTGCCACGTCTCTCCCTTAGCCCCCGAGTGACTGGCTGTGGTCTAGAGGGTACAGGATCTGTTAGCCTGAGCCCAGTGAGGCAGCTATGGAGTAGAGCCCCCTGCTGACAGGAAATGAACAGGTAGAATGAGCAAAAAATACACTTCCACTTTATTAAACAACTGAAACGCGGGGCTTGTTACTGCAGCCTGAGAAGCCTCTCCTGACTGATGCGGAAGGACATCCAGAACCTTCTACGGCTAGCTTTCATAGGACCCTGTGGGAGAGGGAAGATCAGGAGAGCGCCCTGGACCAAGACCAAGTAGACACATGGACTGTGGACAGGGTGGTCCATTCCGGAAGGAGGTGATGGGCCCTCCAGCAGCCAGCACCAGAGGGCATGGAACCTCATCTTCTAACAGACATCAAAACAAAGAAACGATTGTTCATTTGGGATAGTGTTGAATTTACTGGCTCTGTACCCGGATAGTCTCAAGGGAGGTGACAGGGATCCAGAGACCTCCCACGTGTTCTTATCGCTGCCATCTCTTTCACCGTCAAGGCTGACAAGATGGCAATGTCATCTTCACGTCCGCAGCAGGTGGACCACAAGCTGGGTGACTGTGGCCACTCTGAGGGGTGCACTGCCCTTGCCTACGGGGTCTACGGAAAGGCAAATGACTGAGGGAAGGTGCTCCATCCCTCCACCATACTTATCCAAATTCCACTAAGGATCCCTCCCAAGGGGACTGTTGTCCTGTGTCTGGGTTCCTGGAAAAATATGTCATCTAACCAGGGCATATTTGCAGACTCAAAACAAAGTAGTTGTTCTGTATTCCCATCAGGTGGCGACACTTCATGGCGGAGGTTGAAACTGGGATCTTTCGCAAATTCAAAGATGTTTTTCTGGTGAAACTTCTTTGGGCCCTTTCTCTCTCTTCCTAGGCCTCTCTGTTCTCTGTACAGAGGAAAGATGGAGTGTTCTGCTTCTAACAGAGTATGGTGTCCTTCTCAATCTCACCGCTGTCTCAGTTGTCCACTGCAGCAAAAGCCTTGATAGAATACGATGTTGGGGTGCTGGCATTTCACCCACACCCAAGAGGTTGATGAGAGGTAAACAACCTTCTGTGCATGGAATAACCAGTGTCCTGACCAAATCCTGGACAGAGCATCATCCTCTAAATATTCTGATTCAGTGTTTCGCAAACTCTATTCCATAGAACCCAAGTTCTAGAAGACCCAGATTGGTGCCCTGCGACTAAGAGGTTCTGAGGTCAAGACATTGGGGGGTGCCTTGTATTTTATATTCCCCCTTCAGTGAGTTGAATTGCTTGTTAGCTCTGACCAACAACACTTTCAAGAATGGCTTGAGGCTCTCCGACAGGTCTTCAAATAAAAAAACTCTTTGACTCAAATAGATTTAATTATGTGGGACTTTAACTGTGTTTTCTCAAATTTGTTTGAATTTGACTAGAAGGTATTTTTAGTAGGGCAAATGATGAACATCCTGAGAAACACTGAACCTTGACATACTGACTTCAAAGCTGCTATCCTGATTTATTCCCCATGATTTGAGCAGCACAACCTCTGGCCTTGTCCAAAGGAGTAAATTTGTGAGGCTAGAGGTGGAATTTGTGGACCATGTTCAGTCCAACCAAGATGTTTGCAAAAAGTCCTTCAAGGAGTCAGCCTTTTGCAAATGGGAGGCCTCCAGGGTAAGCAAAGATGTTCATGAATTTCTGGGGTTCATTGGCAGCTGCCAACTGCTTCTTCAACACTTTGCTTTGTTTTTCACTCTGCACATTCCAGTAACTGATCATCTCGAGATCAGTAAGGAATTCACTGGGTCAGTCACAGCCAAGGCCTTCTGGTGTTCAGATATGTCTGTGCTAGAAAGAGTAACAGTCCCCCAAAGATGTCCCTGTTCTCGTCCCTGGAACCTGTGAATGTGTTCTCTTACAGGGCAAAAGGGACTTTCCTAAGGTGGTTAAGGATCTTGAGATGGTGAGATTATCCTGTATTATCTATGTGGGCCCAAATTAATCACAAGGGTCCTTATTAGAGGAAGACAAGAAGGCCAGAGGAGATCCATTGCAGGAAGCAGAAGTAGGCATGACATGCTCTGAAAATGGAGGAAGGGGCCTTGAGCCAAGGAATGTGGGGCAGGCTGCCTTCTAGAAACACAAAAGTGCAAGGAAATGCATTCTCCACCAGAGCCTCAGGAGGAGTACAACCCTGTCTACACGTTGATTTTAGCCTGGTGAGATTATTTTGGACTTCTGACTTCTAGAAATGTAAGTAATAGAGTTGTGTTGTTTTAAACTACTAAGTTTGTGGTAATTTGTTACAAGAAACTAATACAATGCCTGGGGCGCCTGAGTGGCTCAGTTGGTTAAATGTCGGTTAAATGTCTGTCTTCGGCTCAGTTATGATCCCAGTGTCCTGGGATTGAGCACCACGTGGAATTCTCTGCTCAGCGGGGAGCCCGCTTCTCCCGCTACCTGCTGCTCCCCAGCTTGTGCTTTCTTTCTCTTTCCATCAAATACATAAATAAATAAAATAAAAAAAAAAAAGGAACTAATACAATGCCTTAGTCCTGTCCTATCTCAAACTGGCCTAGACCCACCTAATCAAACCTAGAGTACCCCGTCTAAAAGGAGATTATTCTGAACTAGGAGGAGCCAACTCCTACCTCTGGGAAGCTGGGCCCCCTCTGAGGGCAGTTGCCCCTCTGGGAGTAAGAGTTATTGGCTGTTATCATGGCTGCCTCAAGGCATTGGGGGACTGACTCAAAGGACATGCTTGGACCACCAGAAGCAGGGACAGTTGAGACAGACTTAGGAATTCAGGTCCAGAACAGGGACTGCATCTAGATCAGGGACTGTGGGCCACTGTCTTTGATGGGTTTGATTTTAGTCCCTATTGCAGAAAGTCATGTGACCAAATTTGGCTATGCATCTTGGACTCAGCATGGAGAATGGGTATCTACCGTACATCATCTGGGCTTTAGAGCCCCCCAGAGATGGCCCTGGGAGGTCCCTCATGTTGACATGGCTTGCCCTTAGCTCTGGTACTCCACAGACAACCTCATGAAAACTGTCGTGTCTATCCTTTGCACAGACTCTATCTGCATCAGCTGTATTCTTTTTTTTTTTTTTTTTTTTTTTTAAGATCTTCTACCGGGATGCCTGGGTGGCTCAGTCAGTTAAGCAACTGCCTTTCAGCTCGGGTCATGATCCTGGGGTCCTGGGATCGAGTCCTGCATTGAGCTCCTGGCCTATGGATTCCCAAGGCACTCCTTGTTTTCTCTCTTTTTATTTGTTTGGGGTGGGAGGAGTAGAAGACATTGTTGGCTTTTTCATTCCATCCCTTGGTGGGCATCTTGGTTTCAGAGGATGATTTCAAAGCCTTTCCTCATAACTCGTCCCTGTCCAACCTCTTCTTCCCACACATTATGGCCAGGTGGAGATGATCAATCAGGACTAGAGCCCCATCTTTGCTGCTGTGCCTCCTAAGACTGTGTGATTCATTCACCAGTCTCACCAGAAAGGACCAGGGTCAGCGAGGTGGATGTGGTAAGCCAACTCTCCCCTCACATGGGAACCTATTGCTATTATAACTCCTTGTTAGATCTGAAGACACCCAAGCCCTGAACCACCAGAGCCGGAGTCCTAAAGATACACGGTGGTATTGGCTAGGCAGGGAGAATCAACCAGTCATCGACAATTACTCATCAACAGTTGCTCCTTTGTTTACATATAACACAGGTTCTCAGGCTGATAATCCAGACTCCTTCTCCCCAGGGTGTTTGGTGACAGTGAGAGATTCATAAAAAGGCTATTGTAGGCGTGTGGTCTTCAGTCCTCACTCCTTCCCTGCCCTGCATCTCCTCCTGTTGACCTCCTGTGCCTTAGTTTCACTTTCCGCTTGACCTACTCTTGGATCTTGGTCCTCTTTAATTCATACATTGTGGTTTTTTGCTTGTCACCTGACAAGAAGGGACATCCCACTTCTGCCCATTCCTAGGCTCCCACGAAACTGGACAGGGATATTCCCTGGCCTCGGAAGATAAGACAGAGTTGACAATGCAGTAGTTAGGAAAATCATTGAAATTGGAGACCTAACTGGGTGCCATGGTCTGAATGGTGTCTGTCCCAAATTATCCAAATGCTTATCTCCAACATGATGGACTTAGGAGATGATTAGGTCATGAGATTGGAGCCCTCATGAATGGGACTCATGCCCTTATGAAAGAGGTTCCAGAGCGATTTCTTGGCACCTTCCCCTACGTAAGGACACAGCAAGAAGTCAGCAGTCTCTAACCCAGAAGAGGATGCTCAACAGACCGTGCCAGCACCCTGATCTTGGATGTCTCCCCTCCAGAACGGTGAGAAATAAATCCCCACGGTTTATAAGCTACCCGGTCTGTGGTAATTTGTTACAGTGGCCCCAAGGGGCTAAGACACTGGGTGAAAGGAGAAAGTTAGAAATGCGGTTTCACTGGATAAAAGGAGATATTAATTGAAGCATTCATGAAAATGTTTGTCATCTACATTTAATTGCTCTGTAGCATAAAACAATTATGTATGTTGGTAAATATGTATTATATTAAGATATTGTCACTTTAGATTTCCCCAATTAACCCTCTGCAAGATTAGTCAGCCTCCCTAATTTATTGCTCGTGTAGCATGGTCATCTGTTTCCAGCCTCGAAAATTAGCGGGCATATTCCTCGGGCTTATGAGCTCTCAGTTCTATGCCTTGACATTGTGCCTGGAGATACAGAGCAGAGGTAGTTTGGTGGTTTCTCAGCCCAAGGTTGAGTAAACAGATGTCCCGGAGTTGATTTTACCCAGAATAATTGCATACAAAGAGCACAAATGTTTAATTAATCAGGAATCTTGTGCTTATTATCTTTTCACTGGGTTTCCACTGATAATGACCCAGAGGAAAATTCTTTTCCTTTGTGTGAATGATATTTTATTTAAAGGTTTTCATTTCATCATCTGATTTCCTTCCCCTTTCTAGTGAGGGAGAGGGGGAGGGGTCGCGTGAACCAACACCTGTGCCAGCCACAAAAGGGGGCCACCCCCAAGCTCCTGACCGCAGAGAGACAGGGGCGCGGCTGGATGGAGGGCACTTGCACGACCCAAGTCAGCCTCGGAACCGTGCGGAAGTCAGAATAATTTACTATTCTATATTCACTCGATGCAAACTTCCTTTCCCCCAGTCAAAGTTGGACGGAAAGAAAGGGAGTTACGGAAAGGGCTGACACGCGAGAAAATGGGAAGACAGTTGCGAATGAAATGAGGTTTGAGTTTTCAAGACTTAACGTTGCAGTTCCGGGCTGGCTCGCTAATGAAGGACCTACTCCCCTAACCTGCCGCTCGGCACAAAACACTAATCAGGGCATTGTTTGCATTAAAGGGCTGAGTTTTCCGGTGGGTAATCATCGGGGAAACCCAGTCAAGGGCGAACAAGGACGGCGGCCCTGATTAATTAAACATCTGCACCAGGGCTAAAAGCGAGACTAACCCTGTTGGTCGGACACGAGCTACTGCTATTAATGGCACTCGTGGAACCGGGCAAGCGCTGTTTGCTAAAATCCCCTGTCTGGAAAGCTCTGCATTCAGGGCAGATCAGGTTATGTCTTTCTCTACTATTTCGGCTTCTTCCTGTGTCCCTAGGTATCAGGGATTCTGGGCAGGGCAGTGGTGTATGTAGCTTATCTCCTCAAGGAGAGAGTGGCCTCTGAGCTAGCCTTGAAGCACAGATGGAAGTTGGAAACGTGCAGATCTGGGGGAAAGCCAGTCTGGGAAGGGCATTCCAGGGAGGGGGACCTGGGTGGACAAAGGCAGGATGTCTGCAACTGTAGAGTGTGTGTCTCGACAGTTATGAGGTCTGGTCCGATTGGAGCCCAGGGGCTGTAAAGGTTAGTGGGAAGCAGCGTTGCAAAGATAAGGTTGATCGCCAGCTGGTGGAAATAGACGTTCATTCTGAAAGCCATCGGAGGACCTACTGGAAGCTTCTTGGGTGGAGAGTGGCAAGACCAGAAGGGTGTTTCCAGAAGATGATGTAGAGTAGTGAGGAGGGTGGACGAATGAGTAGGAGGGTGGGAGGGTCATTCCTTGGCTGAGGCCTCTGCTACTGTCACCAGAAGCCGCTACTTTGTGCTGAGACCTGCTCCCAGCCCGTGACTCAGCGCCGCAGGGATGCAGGGACCCTGACTCCTCTGATGGGTGACTAGCTCCAGCACCTCCAGAAGTTTCCATCAGACTGCACTGCCGGCCAAGGGGTTTCTCTCCTCTTCACAGGGTCATACGTGCCCGGCTGTCCCACAGCTCTGCCAGCCTCTCTTGGCGCCTCCCCCATCTTCTCTCATAGGCCTCCGCCCTCATACAGCTTTGCATGTCGGATCCCATCCCGACATCTGCTTCTTGGAGGATGTACCTGTCTTGGTGTTAGTCTTGGACCGAGGTGCCTGTGTCCAAATGGAAGTTGTTAGGAGCCGGCTGGGGAAAGCACAAGATTTGTAGCTGCGGAATAGGAACCAGGGAAGGCTGTACAGCAGCGGGGGGCAAGAGAGAGGATTTGGAAGGGGCAGAATGTTCGGGTTTGGCTTTAGCTTCACTTTGCCCTCAGTGAAGAAGACACATAAAATAAATCATGTGTGATACATGAAAAAATGCCCACATTGCTTGCCAGGTTTCGATCTTATGATGTGTTTTTCAGGCAGCTGGGATGTCGCTGCTCCGTCCTGGTTGAAGAACTTTGTTTTAAAGGACTTAGATAGGGATGGTAAATAGACTCTGCAGAAGAAGTCTGATAAATTGGTAGTGACCTTGGGGGGCTGTGCTCCAAAGGGCTGTGCAGCCATGCGGAAGGCACTGGGATTGATTAATGTGGTCTGTTATAGTTGAGGGAGTAGAGGCAGTGGGCTGAGGGCTAGCCTTAGACAGCCCAGCCCGTGGTGGTGATCTCTTAAAGGCAGCATCTTGTGCCCAAAAGGAGGCTGTTGGTATAATCGGGGGAAGAAGCAAGAGGGCCTGAAACAGCTGGGAAAGGAAAAGATCAGGACGTAAATATGAGAATCACAGAACTAGAGGGAGTAAGACTGGGGAATCAAATAGGGCACGAGGTAAAGGAGAAGAATCAGGTAAGATTCTGAGGTTTCCATTGCTGGTGTGTGTGTGTGTGTGTAACTAATCAGACCATACGCTCCTCACCACCTGGGACGGGTAACTTGAGTCTCCCTCCAAGCACCTGGTGGCATCACCATCAGTCTTTTTTTTGATGATCATTAGGCTCACGTGCAGGTTTTTTATACGGACGGAACGTTGGGCAGAGATTGGTTCTATTGCCTTCATTCAACTCTAATCATTCAAATGCCCAGATTCACGTTTAGTTATACACATGTTTGTTCTTTATAGGTCCAGAAGTATATCGGAATTCCATCTGTTCTGTAGTCACTTCAGAAAAGCTCCAAGCACGTCGCCCACCGTCAACTTGCATTATTCCATTTCTCTTTACTGGAAAGAGAATGTATTGATTTAAAGTGGGTTTAGATCAAGAATACGAACAACACTTGGTATTCAAGAGTACCCATCTGCACCGTTGTGTTAAGGACAAAAGAACATCTGTTTGGCCCTGCCTCACAGCAGGAGGCCCCATGCTTGGTCAGGCGTGCCCCCACAGGGAGGGAAGGGGGTGACAGAGGCTCTGGGGTTCGTCACCACAGAATTCAGAGGACTGACTCACTTCCCTTCCTGAGATGCCGGCCATGGTTTGTGGTGGTGGCTCACCACACTGGCGAGGCTCTTGCCTTTCCTGCCTTTCCTGCCTTTCCTATTCCATGTGATCTTGTCCAAAGGTGCCAGCTCCTGGCTTTCCAACTTGGGGACGCATACATTTTTTCAAGAGGGCGGAGGAAAAGTCAACATGAAGATTAATGGACTTCAAAGCAGGGAGAGAACAAAAATACTGGAAATTTCTGCCCATGATTCAATTTTCAGGGGCACAAGCATACCCTGGAGACAAGGAGGAGAACCAAATCTAGTTTTAAGGCCAGAGCCTTGGGTTTAAGAGATCATTTAGAGAACTCACTGAAGGCTACACAGCCGTGAAAGTAATTGCTGAATTCTGCCCTGTCCATATTCTCTCTCTCTCTTCTCTCTCTCTCCTTTCCTCCCACCCCCTCTTTTTTAATGGTGGTGGGCCTTAGCTTTAAAATGAAGTTTAAGTTTAAGAGAATTCATTTAAAAATATGTTCTTTAGCCTACATTTATAAAAATAATTTCCCCCAACTGGAACTCTAACATATGTTCCACATATGTGGCAATGCTATTGTACAACATGCTATTTCTGAATACCACACAAAAGTAAAATCCTAATTTAATTTTAAGTAGCATGGGAAATTTCTAGTGAAGAGCAAATTCGTTATTTCACACCAGAAGAATTTTGAAAAAGGCCCGGTACAAACCTAACATTAGGCATTAGGTGATGGATAGGTAGCCTGCTCCTCATTGTCTATGTCGGTAATATCCAGCCCAGCTCTAAGTCACACTGTTTATTGTGATATGCTAAATTACCCGAATCTGTCCTACCTCGATTTCTCTCTCAAAATCTCAAATTGTTGCCAGAGAACTGCTCTTTCAACTGGATCTGGGCCGGGCTTTGGGGAAATTGGACGGTCAGTTAAGTTAATCACAGGTGTGAATTCCTTGTGGGTCCCCAGAGGACAGCCCATAGAATGTGTTTCCCAGCTGTAAGAGGTACCCTGAATTCTAGTACATACCCACTTCTTGAGGGGAGAGGATGATCCCTGGCTGCCAAACAGGGCCATTTTTGTAATGGCTTGATTGGGTAAAACGTGTTTCGGTGGAATAGATACCACGTACCATGACCATGCCTTCAACCCTTGAGTTGGGTGAGGAGATGGTGGACTCATGGGGCTCAGCTGTATAGACAGCCCATAAACCAGGTAGGGACTGAACTTGCCCTTTGTTGGTGACAACTGCTTACTCTCCAGCAGGAGGAACTTAGCCAATGCCTCTCAATTTGCAAAATGGCACCAAACTGGCCCCCAGAGAAACATTATCAAAGGCCTTTTTTGTCTTAGAATGCATCGGTGCTGAGGAAGGGAATGTTATGCATGGCATGCATGGATGGTCTTTGAACCCACCCAAGTCCAAACCTCATTTTCTCTCTGGGAGAGAGGAAGGGGGCAGGAGACGGAGCCAAGAGGCCAAGATGCTGCCAACATTCAAGTGGGAAGGGCCCTCCTCTGGAATGAGTATGCTGGCAGAGGAATGGGGCAGAGGAATGAATTTTAGAAATGTTGTGGTGAACGAGACACTGAGATTTATTTTAAAATGAAAGACTTATGAAAATAACCTGGTACCAGAGGAAAAAGAGACTTGAGGGTTGAAACAGATCATGGTTGGGGGAGCTGGGATGACGTGGAGTGCAGGAGAATGATATGGCAGGGAGGAGAAGGTGAGGGGCCAAGAAGAGAGTCCCCAGGAAGGTGCAGGGGAGGGGGCATGGGCTGCCGATCTGGAGGCGGTCTTCTCTTCTTGCTGCCACCTTGGTCTCCATGACCTGGCAATTGGTTTCTTCTGTGGAGGGAAGGGGGAACTGAGACCCACTGGCGCAAAGCACAGAAGACTACCCAGGCTAGGAGAGGCAGACAAGGAATTTAATGAGAGGGTAGGCGGTGGTTCCCAGACCTGAGGAAGAGATGAGGATGAGGGTAGCTGCAGGGGTGCAGTGAAGCAGGAAATGATGGACAGGCTGATCAGGACCTGGAGCCCAGCTTTCATTAGCTCTGAAAGTTTTCTCTCTCGGTGTTGCTCCTGCCCCAATCCCAGAAGGGCAATTCCACATGGTCTGGCTTGGGTCATGTTCTCAGCTGTTGGCCAGAGGAGGGCACCCAAACCATGAGCAATGGCAGAGAGGTTCTCCAGGAAAGAACTGAGGTGCTGTGATCAGAGAAAGAGGGAATAGTAGCTGGGCAAGCAAGAACACAAGCGCCCACTGCACAGGGTGACGACAAAGCCACCACAAGACCTTGTCTCGGGTTCCATGGGATCATGGAAGGAAGGGTTTAATAACACATCTGATGTTGTTACCTCATTTATTTCTCACAATTACCCTGAGAGGGAGAGAAAACCAACTGAGGACTCAAGAAATATCTCAGGACTCATAGCACCTTGGACCGACATCCGGTCATGGGTCCCCACGGCAAGTGTGCCTTCTGGTTCTCTGTGGTGCCCACACAGGGAGCTTCCTTGGGCAGGGGGAGTGGAATGGACTTTTCCAGCCCGAAGCCGTCCCAGAGCTCTGGGTGAGTCTGCACAGAAGAGTCTTTTCATCTAAACTTCTTAATATAAACTTGAAGCCCGAGTGCCTATCTCATATTTAAATATTTTCAGGAATGCTAGAAGGTGGGGGGAACTTCCACCCAGAATCATTTCTGGAAAGAACTACCTGGGGAAAGGAAGGTCTCATGTGCCAAGCTCGGTCCTTCTCTTTTGGCCACTGCAGAGCACCTCCTTGTTTCTGCATCGAGATGTTTGGCTCCAGTTGTTACATTGCTGGGTTCCCACCGACAGTCCCTCTGCGAGCCTCACCCCCCCTCCCATGATGAGATGCAAAGATTTAACGGTTTCCAGAGGGAGGCTACCTAATTTGACACACATTTGACACACACATTTGACACATTCCACACGTTCTTGGGCTTGAATAACACCACCTGTAAGCTGGTGAGATAGTGTGTTCAACGTGTGGTAACCCAGGAAGCTGCCCTTTTCACCCGGTTGTGGGAAGGGTGGTCTCACACATTTTTTCCACAGTAATTTGATTTCATCTGAGAACAACTGCAGGAGCTACTGTTGGGAAAGCAACCCAAGGTTCAATGTCGAGGTCATTATTAGTATTAGATGTTTCAGATCTGTGACATAGTTGAGTTCTAGTATACTCATCAAGGAAGCATCCTGTGAGGACTTCTATCAGAATTGGCAGGGGTCCAGCATTTCACCATCAGGATGGTGCCCCCATCCTGGGCAACAGGTGTTTTGAGTGTTTTGAAAAGCCCTAACAGCCCAAACTTTGCCTAACAAAGCTTCTCTGTGCCCTGAGTTCTTTTCCAGGCTATGGGTTTTATTCTCCAGGGTTTTTACTTGTGGAGTCCTTTTGGTATTCAGGTACTGTGGGACCAAAGGTTAGCTTGGGCTATGAGGTTCAATCTTCCTCTCCCACAAGCCAATCTTAGTAACACAATTTGAGTAGAAATATGCAAACACAGTTTCAGATCAAGTCTGCTAGCCTCCATCTTTCAGCCAGATGGCCACCCCTAAGACTTTTTCTGAAGAAAGTTTGGAGACTTCCTTAGGAGGGTGAAAATAATGAGTAGTACATTCAGAATAGAGAAATCTTGGGCACAGCAGCGTTCTGTAAGGAGAATGCTTTCTTAGCTCCCAAATTTTGTCTGCAGCTCTCAGCTAATCCAAATATCTATTTATAATAGCATTTGGAGAGACCCTTAAACTTGGGTTTTAAAAACCAAAAGAAATATTAAGAAGAAATCCACAGGACAATTTGAATGATGTATGTTTTAATACATAATTAAGATGGATATTATTATACACAAAAAAGTAACACAGTGGTTCCCTTAAAAATTTTTTTTTTCAGTTCCTTCCCCTTAAATCCCTTATGTAGGTAAGGCTAAGAGAATGGTCTTTGTTTCTGTAGGGTGTGCTTTATCTTAATGTAACAGCCCAAGTTCATGGTGATACCCTACTGTGAGGGTCTGTGTGGGATGTCACCACCTGTGACAGGGCTCTTATTAATGAGCTGCAGAACATACTCTATCTTGGTATATAGTCTATGTCAAAGTCCATACCAAGTTCTGAGCCTTAAAGAGGTTCCTTTCCTCTGGCTTTCTTTGCTGACTGTGTGCTTCAAGTTACTTATTTCTCTGGGAAAGATTTCTCTTTTCCTTAGCATGGCCTTAGATCTTTCTGTTTCTCTTTGAATGCCTTCTGTCTACTGCCTCTGTGTGCTGCTTTATCTCTTTATTGCAGGGTGGAGGAAGTGTTTGATATTTTGTTCCAACAAAAATTTTTGGAATATCTATTAGATCAGCCAGTGGGCTAGGTTGCTATGTGAAAGAGTAAGTTCCAAATTTAATCTGAGCTGAAAACAAATTCCACTGTTATGCAGAAGCATGCTCACCTTGATCTCTTCTGGGCACTCTCCCAGGTTACAACAGCTCAGACTCTACCCCTTAACAATTTTATGCCCACAATAGAGGCTAAAGAATCACCAAGAAGTATGGGAAAACTCACTGTTGCAGAGATGCTAATTATTTCCTCCAACGATCATTTCCTTCCTTTTTCCAGGCCTCTAGAGAAATTGTCTCCAAAAACTGCCCAAAAGGGAGTTCCCTAAGTGCTTTGAGACCCTGTTACTGTCTACAGCTTACTGCATTGGATGTGGATTCCTCACCCAAGATAAGCCAAACGCATGTAGCCTAAAGATGCAGCGACTACATAAGTTGTCTTGGAAACTTGAATTGGAAAGGTAACTAATTGTGAAAGCAGAGGCCTACATTCTGTGGCCTCGGTGATGGGAGAGATGCAGGCACTGCCAAGCAAGCCATTAGCACAGGGAGACAACAAAGGGATTTGTCTGTCTTAACCAGAAAACTGTGTACAAAGAAAAGCCTCTGAATTGTGAATCAAGAATTCTGAACCAAGAACCTAACTCCTTACTTTGGTTTGAAGCTTGGATTTATGCTATGTATGTGGTCTAAGAATATTTGAGATGAGATACTAACATAAAAATGTGATTCTAGGCCCTGATGTCATACAGTCATGAACCAAACACAAAACTCCATTGAGTCATACCCTCAGCTCAGGCCACAGAGAGTTCCTGTAAGCAAAGCCACACTGAAGATAAGCTCACCCTCCCAAATTACAAAATATATTAGGAAACAGTCCTCATGACAGAAAGTCAACAGATAGAACATACAGCAGGATTAGATTCCCAGTAACTTCAGACAGTAGATCTGTCATAAAAGCATTATAAATATGTTTAAAATGATTAGAAACATAAAATAAGAAATTGAAAATATAACAAACATACAAGATATCATGTAAAAAGAGACTACAGAGCCAAAAAAGAAAAAAAATTAAAAATAGAAGTAATAACGTAGTCATTAATTTTAATGGATTAGATATAGCTAAAGAGAAAATTAATGAGCTGGAAGAGAGGTCTGATTCCAATTCAGAATGCATCACAAAGACATAAATGTGTAGGAGAGTGATTAAAGATATGGAAGATAAAATGAGAAATAATATGATTTTCAAACAGAGGATAGAGAATGACAGAGAAGGAACAGTTCAAGAGAAAAGGGCTGAGCACTTTTTATAATGGTTAAAAGATAAAAATCACAAGATTCAGGAAGCTATGAAGTCAGCAATGAGCTGACTAAATAAGAATAAATCCAAACCATAAGTCCACTGTAATGAAAATGAGGAACACCAAAGCCATAAAAAGTTCTTAAAGCAAACACAGAGAAAAGACATATTTCCTACAAAGGAAATATGATTAGACAGGCGGCAGATTTTTCAACAGAAACAACAGAAACTAAAAGTCAGTAATATACCCAAAACAGGAATAGAAACTGTCACTTCATTAACTACTTAAATTATTATTGAACAACACAGATGAAATTAAATTTTGTTTTAGTTACCAAAGACTTTCATGAAGGAGTTTTTTGTTTTGTTTTTGTTTTTGTTTTCATTTTTAAGATTTTATTTATTTGAGAGAGAAAGAGAATGATTAGGGGACAGGGGTAGAGGGAGAAGCAGGCTCCCCATGGAGCAGGGAGCCTGAGGCAAGGCTCAATCCCAGGACCCTGGGGTCATGACATGATATCAAGGCAGATGCTTAACTGACTGAGCCTCCCAGGTGCCCCTTTTATGAAGGAGTTTCTAAAAGATTTATTTCAAGTAGAAGAAAATTGAACCAAAAGGAAAGAAATGAAATTCAAGAAAGGTTAGTAAACTTACTACCTGTAGAAAATAACAATAATGTTGACAGATTTTAAGGATGCAGAGAATGTGTAATTGAAATGTTGGACAACAAAAATATGGAAGAAGGGTAGGAGAAGATTGGAGATCTGAATATTGGTAGATGGGTAGAAATGCTGACTTATTTTATACATTCTGAAGTCAAGTGTGTGTGACAAAAATGTACGGGTAACATCCAAACAGGTAGTATGTATATGCAGACATACAAATGAGCAGAGAAAACAAAGGTAAAAGAAGGAAAAAGACCTATCAGGCCAAAAAAAAAAAAAAAAAAAAAAAAGAATTACATTTTTACCAGAATTTAGGGCAAGATTAATGATTAGGGACAGATTGTTCTAAAATATAACAATACTAATATGTTCCTAATAGCCTCAAATAAGAGACAACTGTTAAATTTACAGGAGGAATTGTCAAATATACAATCACAGTAATGTTTTAACACTACTCTTCAGTTAGGTAAAGCAAATTTTAAAAATTAGTGAGAAGACTTGAATAAACTATTTTTGTAGTGATGGTGACAAGTTGCCTAAATAGTACTTCTTTTTTTTTTTTTTAAGATTTTATTTATTTATTTGACAGACAGAAATCATAAGTAGACGGAGAGGCAGGCAGAGAGAGAGAGGAGGAAGCAGGCTCCCCGCTGAGCAGAGAGCCAGATGCGGGGCTCGATCCCAGGACCCTGGGATCATGACCTGAGCCGAAGGCAGAGGCTTTAACCACTGAGCCACCAGGCGCCCCTAAATAGTACTTCTGATTCCAGTTCTGAGAGATGTAGGATCATTCTACCTGAAATTCCTTTGGGAAGGCAAACTTCCAAAAGGACACTTTTTTATGGAAAGGAGGGATCCGAATTCTCTAACCTTTCACCTGTGCCTGGCTCCCTCCTGTGGATGAGACCCATTCCAGCCCTGCTTCGAGGACTGGCTGATTTTGGCGTGTGAATCCGGCTGACTGTTAACATACCTTGGCTGCGATTTTTTTTTCCCTTCTGCTTTTTAAATTAGTGCAAGCTGGTATAGCTTCGGGATTCTTTGCACGCCGCCGAGGCAGCAGAAAGTCACGTGCGTTAGTTAAGGTGCCCGCTAAACTGCTGTCACAAAGACACTAAAAAACACAGGGGCGCAGATGAGGTTATTTCTCTCCCAGGGAACATCCAGACGCCGGCGGGCAGTGCCGGGCAGGCAGGTGGCGCTGCTCCACAAAATCCTCCAGCTTCCTTCTACTTTTTGGTGTCCTCTTCATCCGCCCATCTGCCCTTCTAGCCCCAGGGAAGGGTGAGTAGCTCCTTTACAGAGATGTCACCCAACATTTGCACACGTCACTTGGAATCACTTCCCTCTGGCTGGACCTTCGTCCCAGGGCCACTCTGAGCTGCAGGGGAGCTTGGGAAATAACTGTGTGCGGCTGGGCAGCCATCTTTCTTGTTCCTCAGTACGTGGGGGTTTTGGGGTCATTCTGTTGCTGGAAGGGAAGAGATTAGAATGGGTAACGGAAGGAAACGAGCAGGGGCAGCGGTAGCTCAAATCTTTATTCCCAGTCACAGCACCATTCATTACACGTGAGGGACACTGGAACCTGTCATGACTTCAGTTTTTCCATTTAGAAAAAAAGGATCTCAGAGTTGTTATTAATGGCAATCAAGACGTAGAGAGTGAAAACGAGGGCTCCCAGGGTTCTCTGTGGGTCCCTGGCCCTGTAGTTCCTTGTCTGCGCAGAGCAGAGATCCCAGGCGGGCACACAGTGCATTGCAGGGTCATGCGGGCTGTTGGGAGTGAGGGGGCAATGGCCGACCAGCTCCTGCCTCTGGCTGCTTTGCCTGGAGCCCCTCTTTCCTTCTCCTGATCTCCCCTTCCCTCTCTCCCACCTCCCCACTGCAGGGATCCTGCGGATTGATGGACTGTCACCTGGAAGGTGGAGGCAGACCCCAGATCTCTGTGTTCTTAAAGGAAAGAAGGATTAATGAGCTCCTTAGAGTTGTCTGTGGGCTGGAGCTCATCTCGGTGCCTGCTCCGGCTGGGACAGCGTACTGCCAAGAGAAAGGCAGGCAGCTACAAAGCTTTGGTCATGCTGCCCCTTGTGTGACCTGTCAGGTCTTGTCTGTGATCGGCTGTGCTGGTTGGTGCAGGTCACACGCTGAGCTCTTCCCAGGAATCTGATTGTTTGCAGTTGTAAAGTGCAGGAGCTTGGATCTGTCCGGGCAGAGGGTTAAATCATGGAGTGTTTTACAAGGGCAGCTATAGGGAATGTCTTGTTTTCTCCTTATATGGCTATTTTTCTCAGTCCAGAATCCCAGGGTGTATTTTACGTGGTTGAAATACACAAATGGAGTCATAGTCTTAGCCAAACATGCTATGTGGCTTTAAAATTAACAAGCCTCTCTCTACTTCTGTATCCCAAACACACATTCACATGCACCATTTCCGTTGAGACCGTGGAAAGCTACTCCTTCCTTTTTAGCCAAAAATATTCAATGGGGTGGATTTCTACAATTCTGTTGCTTTATGTGGGAGAAAGATTTCTTTGGATCAGAGTAGTTTTGCAAGCGTGTGGGTCAAGTTTAAGTAGCAAGTTTTTAATGAGTCGCTACCATATGTGATGTGCTGCCTTCACTGGCTCTGGATGTATGGGCAGAATGGGGGCACCAAACGTTAACATATAAAAAGGAAAGATGTTTAATGATGATTCAAGACGACACTAGTCAGAAGGCAGTGCGGGGTGAGAGAGAGCATGAGCTTGCCACAGGCGCTCAGGGGAAGGAGAAATCTGTTCAGACTGCGGTGATCAGGGCAACTTTGATGGAAGAAGTGGAGGTTTGAATTAGTTGGATTTGGTTAGGTCAGGGGGAGAGGAAGAGGCATTTTCGTGGTGGAGACCTGAAGAAAAATGCTAAGGAGAGACAATGAAGGGAATTTTAAAAGAGGAGAGCGAATAATCCAGAGTGGCTAAAGCAAATAATTCATGTAGGAGAAGAGGCACTTTGGGTGGGAAAGGTAGATGAAGGCTGGAGTTGGCCTGGGAAGTCAAGCTGGAGCTGCGATTTTTACTGCATGATAAAGTGGAGACATTGAGGGCTTTGGGGTATTTATTTTGATCTGAACCGCTCTGGGCACCAGGATTCTCAATAATTTCTGTCTCCAAAGCTTATTTTTCTTTTTGGCTATCTCATCAAATATGACAATCTAGAACATTAAGATTTAAATTTTTTTCAAAAAAAATTTAAAAAAATTTTTTAATTTTTTAAAAAATTAAAAATAGGAACCGGAACAAGAACAGGAACAGGCTGAGCTGGAAGCCTGATACAGGGCTTGATCCCAGGACCCCGAGATCATGACCCGAGCCGAAGGCAGATGCTTAAATGAATGAGCCATCCAGGCATCCCTAAGATTGTATTAATTAAATATGACCTTTAGGTATTAAAAGTAAGACTTTTTACCAAGAGTTCCTTAATGGTGATTTCATAAATGAGACATGCAGTGTTTATTATTGAATACAATTCTTGGCCATACCTTCTGGAACACAAACTATGAACTAAGGTTTTGCAGGGAGAAGCTGATTGACCAACTTTCATTCCTTGTGGGCAGAAGAGGCAATATGGGAGGAAAACTCCAGCATTGGATCAAGATGCAGAAGCCCCACATTCTGAGCAAATTTAGATGAAAATTTTCATTTCAGGACATTTTGGAGATAATAAAATCTGGCGTGAGAATTATGCTCCCCAAAGCCTGCTTTCTGAGTCTCATTCGATCTCTACTTGAGTTTTTTTCCAGAGATAGAGCTGGGATTATGATGGTTATTATAAATGTGAAGAAACTGTCAAGAAGTTTTAATGACTTTCCCAGACTCACCCAGCTAGTGTGTGGGGCAGCAAGGGCTGTCGGGAGCGTGGAGGGGGCCAGGTGGTGTCCTTGTGATAGTGAGTTGGCAGCACGTGGGCTCCCGTGGATTAGAGGCATAGAAGTACAGTCAGGGAAGCAGCCACATTAGACAGAAAGGCTGTCCTGGCCAAAGCAGGTGAGAGGGTGAGAGGCAATGACAAGGTGACTAGGGATAGCCCTTGGGAGGAGGAGCTTGGGGATCCCCCAAGTGATAACCTCCATAGGTCAGGTGGGATAGCACTGACAGGGAAGGGCTCCCAGTCAGGGCCAGCTGGAGCAAAGACGCAGAGAGGTTGAAGGGACCTTGGGCAAGTCACTTGACTTTTCTGAGCCTCAGCTTCCTCCTGTGCAAAATGAAGCAAATCATAACCCCTAATGGTGTGACATTGCAATGATTAGATGGAGAACATGGGGCCAGAGCAGGTGGCTCCATCCCTGGGATACAGCCATGTTCATTCGGATTTTTTGCAAAGAGTGCCATCAAGAGCTATCAAACAGGTGAGCTGGAAAGGATCTGGAGACCTACAGTTTGTCTAGGAATGAGGGTGGCATTGGGTTTACATTTAAGAACAAAAGAGAGGCCAGGCTGTGAGGGACTGGAGTTCTTTTTTTGTTGTCATTTCTAATTCAACATTGAAAATCAGGCAGAAGGAACACAACTGCATGCACACACACACACACACACACACACACACACACACACACACATTGTGCTGAACACACGTAGGTGAGCACGGTGGACCATGGCAAAGGCTCTCACTCACAGATGCTCTTTTGTGGGTTTATGAAGGATCGTTTAATGGTGGTGTTGTTTTCCTATTTTAAAACTTCCTAAAATATTTAGCACTTGCAAAGGAGAATGCCAGGCTCCCGGGTTACTTGCATAGGTGTTGGGTGCGTGTTAAGTCAGGGACATGTGATGCCTCAAGTCATCTCTGATACGAGATTGTCATTGAAATATATGAGGTCATAGGATGATGAAGCCAGGGAGGCTGGGGAGAAGAATCAGGATATGTATGGGCTCTATGTAATTGTTCGCTATCAAAATATGTATTATTTGCAAATGTTTATTGGAAAATCCATTGTGGAATACAACTCATTCTTGCCCCTGGAGAGCAAAACCATTATTATGTATTACCATGCTGTTATGAATACCATCAATGTACCCTTATGCTTTTATATCCTTGATAATTCTGTTATTTATTATGACTGTCTAATTCATATCGGTTGGCTACATTACCAACATTTATTGAGAGTGTTGAAGAGCAGTGGATAGATTGGTTTAGCAAGAAGCATGGAGGTGAGTATACTGAAGGGTATAGAACCTGGCCAGTTACAAAGATGCTGGCCAATTTATAAAACTGTTCTTGATTGCTTGGACTCTTCTGGAATCACATTTTTGCTGATTTTTTTTTCCCTCCATAAATTCTTGAATCATGTTTCTAACAAGCAGGACCCGGTGTCAGAAAGTCCCACCACATTATTGGCTTTGCACTGTTCTTTTAAATATGTAGGAAGTGGGCTTGGGGACCACATTGACTTGGGCCACTTTGAATATGCAAATCTCTTTAATCCCCATCACCTGCTTCACCCATCAAGGGTACACTCATGATGATGAACACTGAGTAATATACAGAATTATTGAACCACTATATTGTACACCTGAAATTCATATAACACTGTATGTTAACTATATCAGAATTAAAATTTTAAAATATATTCCTTCTTACATAGAAGAATGGAATCCTTAGGAGGAGAGACGGGCAGGATGCCGGGGAAGAGAAACTCTTTGGCTATCAGACGTGGCTCTGTTCCTTACCTCTCTTTTCTTAGACCTTTTTCTGTGGTATTTTCTATCCTTTTCTATTTGATGAACCTAAGCTATCTATCCACCTCTCCTAGTGAATTTGAGGGGGATTTCAAGAAGTCAAAATACTGCATCTTAATACGAGGGCTATTTTGTAAGTTTGCCATTAGGAAGAGTCAAGGTCTTGTTTGAGTTTCAAAGAACGATATGATGCACTGGCCTCGCTCAGACAGATCCATCTTAATTGCACTTAGGCTCGTTTGGGGAGCTGGGACGCATGGCTCGCATAGGCAGACCCAGCTATGGGGTGAGCCCGTGCTGCCCCACCAGGGAAAACTGTGCCATTTATTCTGAGAATGTGCAGAAACACCATTTGATTGGGAAGAGGCCTTAGGTCATTTATCTCCCACTTTTAAAATGATGAGATCGATGTGTGTCCCCAGTGGGCTGTCCCCCTTCTATTCAGCAACAATACACTACTTCTTTTCAAAGAGAAATATGCTTCCAATAAGGGGGAAGGGAGGCTGGGGGTGGTAGCAAAGGGGATCAAGCAACTTTCATTGAAGGATTCATTTTTGATTGAAATATTTTGTTCTAATCTCCAACTTCCTTTATAACTTGGCAGAATGACCAAAAGAAAAACAATGTCCCTCCCTAGCCCAGTTTACGGCCTGCCAGTGCAGAGGATCCGGTTACGTCTTCCAAATTGTATACGTTGGGTTGTTTGATACCTTCTTTTTTTTTTTTTTTTCCTCTTTTTAAATCTATTGCTCATATACATAGGGTTTTCTTTTAATGGCTTGTCAAAGTGGACTTTGGTGAAAAACCACAGGAGGAAAAATACAGAAGAAAAATATAGATCAAACTTAGCTGGCGATTTAATACTTTTTTCTTTTTTTTTTTTGGTTCCTTGAGTATGTTGTGGAAGGAATTCTCTGCAAGTGATACATCCTGTAACTGTAGGCAGATGTAATCCCCTGGCCGTGATACCAGTAAAGATTTCCCTTCACGTTGGAGACATTTGCAGCCATTTTGTCCCCTCCCACAAAGAGGAAGTACACAGGGAGGAGGACGTTCTGGGCCATGTGCGCTCTCTGTAATGTTCCACGGTTGTGTTTACAATTCCCAGGATGCCCTGGGAGCCTGGCTTTGGAAGGGAAAGGATACCAGGGTATTATGACCTGGGGTTGGAATCTGGGGAGGGCCCACAGGGGCACTTCCTCTTCTCAGAAAGGCCTTTCTCCTACTTGCTGCCAGTCTGCCTCACCTCCTCAAGGACACATGCCGGTGTGGACTCTGCCCAAATTCAGTCTGTGCTCATCTTGCTTTTGTGGTGTGTCCTAAGAGGGCACTGTTCGTGTTACCATCATTTGGATGGTTGCCTTTTCTCCACAAATATGTTCAAAACATCTTTTTCGTTTCCCTCTTGGTGGGGAGTGTTTTTTTCTAGTGGGGTATAGGAGATAGATTCTATCTGCTCGCCCAGACCAGAAATAGCTCGAGTGTCTTGTTTGTGGCCCCCAGAAGCACATCCTGAGACAGTGACTTGAGGGCAAACAGCTAATTGGGAGGGGGTCCCAGGAGCTCCCAGTAGAGAAGTGGGGCAGGGAGGAAGGAAAGGGAAGGGAAGGGAATGCCACCAAAGGGCTCATCAAGCTAGGGGTCACTATGGGAAACTGGGTCTTAATCCTGCCAGGAAGTGTTCCTCAACCTCAGCATTACTGACATTTGGAGCAGAATTCCCAGTTGTGTGGGCTACCCTGAGGATTGTAGGAGGTTTAGCAACATCGCTGGTCTCTCCTTACTAAATGGCAGTTGCCAGGAGCAACCCCCCCACCCCCAACACACATACCAGGTGTGACAATCAAAAATGTCTTCAGAAGGTACCAAATACCCTCTGGGAGGGGGGCAGAACAGCCTATGGTTTAGAACCATGGGAACCCCAGGGACCTCTGGGCAAGGTGCTGGCCATCAGAAGTCTGGCTGGAAAGCCCAGAGGGGTTGTCACCATTGGGCCCTGGAGTGTCTGCTGCACTCTCTTCTAGAAGATGAGGAGGGAGCAATCTGGAAGGGCGTCTTAGCTCAAGCTGCTAGTCAAAAATACCATAAACTGGGTGGTTTATAAATACAAAAATTTATTTCTCACAGTTCTGGGGGCTGGAAATCTAAGATGAGCATGCTGACACAATAGGACTCAGATGGCAGACTGCTTTGTATCCTTGCATGGTGGAGAGCAGAGAGGGGAAGCCAGCGCTCTGGTGACTTTTCATGGCACTTATCCTATTCATGAGGGCCTCACCCTCATGACCTCTTATAATCCTACTCACTTCCCAAAGGCCCCACTTTCAAATACCATCACATTGGGAGGTATTGGGGGGTGGGCGGAGACCAGCATTCAGTCCTTACAGGGGACACCCCCATCTGAATATCCTGTATCTTGAATTCAATAAATCTCAAATTGAGCCCACTGATCTCCCTCCAAAAGCCCTCAGATATGCCCCCTTCTTGTAATCTTTTGCCAGTTGATAAACCCACTTCTCTATGAAGCAGAAATTGGAGAGAGTTCTTAAACTTCTCCCTTCCACCCTGTGCTCCTCCGCCCACCTCCCACCCAGCAGGGCTCATTCCACCTTCAGTACTAGATCTGTCTCCTCCTCGAGACCTCCTGCTGCTTTCACACAGGTGGCCTTGCCTCTTCATCCCTCCAACATCACCGCTGCTCCCGCACTGACCTCCCTCCTCCGAGCCGTCTCTGACTCTTCTTTCCAGAAGGCAACATGACCATCACCCTATATTCTATTCAAAATTTAAAAAATCACTTCTGCCACTTTGTGAATGAACTGTCAATAGTTTATCCAGGCATCCTAAGTCCTTTGTTACCTGCAGAGCGAGAGTATCAGAGTGATTTAGAGGTGATCTGCCCTGGATTCAAATCTTGGCAACTCAGATAAATTACCAGTATTTTCAGTTTTTCCAAATAAATGTAAGACAGGGATCAGCAGTACCTGTGTGAATAATCTATGAAAAAGCACTTTTAACAGGACGTGGCCCATAACAGGATATCGATCCATGGTCTCTGTCGTGGTTCTAGCCGGGCTTCCAAGGTTGTTGTGAGTGTGCAGTAAGGTGTCGCTTGTGGAAGAGCTCTTACTGCCATATGTCATCTCATTACTGCATCCTGTTCCTCATCTGTGCCACAGAATTGTTGGCTCCGGGCTGCATGGGGAGTGGGGACACAGGGAGGGTTAGCACACTGCTGTGTGGAGGCAAGGGCCCCAGCAGAAAGACACACAGAGCGTGCCTCAGTGAGGAACAGAGCGTTGGGTCTCTGCTCTTCTAGCTCCAAGCTCTTTTGAGTTGGGCAAAACACCAACTGACTCATCAAGTTTTGACATTGGCTGCGGAGCTTGAAATGTCTCCTGTCCAAGAATTCACCACTCTGTCCTGTGAGTCTCCTCGGGAGCACAATTAAAGGATCTAGAGTGTTCCCCGGACATGCCGTCAGACTGATTAAACTGGTGGAGAATGTGTGGAGCCCTTATTGGATACAGATGGCACTCCGTGTGGCAGCAGGGCTGGCCAGAAAAAGGACAGGCTGGCAGGCTGGTGTGGGTCCTTCATGTTCTGCTCCAGGGCCCCCTACAGACATCTCTAGGAGAGAGTTGGCTAGGGGAGGGAAGACAGGAGGAGGTCTCCTTGGACAGGCTCACCTTGGAGAGTGAGTTGGCGGCAGTGGGTGAGGGGTGAGTCGCAAACACCAAGTTTTGGCAAAGGAGAAGATTCCTCCAGGCCACCTCAGTAACAGAGTGTTAGCAGTGATTTCAAGGAGGTATTTAGGCTGCAGCCTCAGACTAACGGGCAGAAGTGCTGGGTTCTGGTACGATGGTAGCCATCAGGCCGAGGCCTTGGTTTGTACCCCATCCCGGGAGGGTTCCAGCTGGTTTTCTCTCTCCCTGCTGTTTCTGCTCACCTTCTGCGCTCCTCAGCCTGGGTGAGGAGCCCTGATTTCCCATTCTCTAGGGAGCTATCTCTTGGGGTTTTCTTGCCAGCCACTCCTTGACCTGTGGGGTCTTGTCATGGCGACAGTTGTCTGCTGTGACCGGCTCTCAGGTACCACCCCAGTTTCTTGCTGTTTTCCTAAACCCAGCCCCACCTTCTCATTAAAAGCATCTCTTTGTTAAACTCCCCTTCTTGCCCAGCTCGAGTGTTCCACAACAGATCTGAAATCCAGCCTTAGGAATTCAAATCCAGAATTCTCAACCACTCCACCATACTCCTCCACTTGGTCCACGAGTAATATCCCATCGCTTTCATCTTCTAACTAAAACTGCCTTGAACTCCCTCCATCTTGGGGTGGTGGAAAGCCCCCTGTTCAGGTGGACACTCTCCTTTCCTCATTCAAAGAGGACAGCAGAAGGAGGAAGGAAGGCTCTGAGGAGGTCTCCCTGGCCCCTGCCCCGATTTCCGGCTGCGGTTTTCTCTAACGCATCGCCATGGCTGTCACTGGGGAAAGCGGGCCTTACACAGTCTGGCTGTCCTTGTCTACAGCTACCATGAGGTTGTTTGCTCCTTGAGGCTGTTTCCGGTTCCTGAATGAGTGACAGAACTTCCAGGCCAAAGGTGCTGCTGGATGACATGTGTGCTGTCCCATTTTATTCCCACAACATCCCTATGAGGTATGGACTTCTCCGCACACCAGAAACAAAGAAACTGAGGCCCACAGAGGTTAAATGATGGACCTGTATTATTTACATGAGACCTTTCCAGTTTTTAAAATGAAATATTTGCTTTTCAAATCTAATTTCTGGCATTAACAATAATCTTAAGAGCCAACTATGGGCCTCCCTACCCAGGGTCTGGCTCACTGGTAGACTCTGTCCTCCAGTTGATAAGCTCAGTGAGCCCCCCACCCCTTCCAAGGCACGGAATCTGTCCTGTACATATTACTTTCTCCTTCTTCCTCTCTGTTCCCTCCCCAAATCCTCTTCCTTAACGCTCCTTCCCCCAAGTTACATTTTGAGAGGTCATTAAAATCCAGTGTGAGTGAGCATGTCCCATTAAAACCCTTTTTCTTTTCAAACAGACTGTGAACCTTTCCAGATTCCCCCTCCCATCGCCCCGTTCACCATTCAGCCACATTTAAGCCCACTGCTGACAGATGGAATTCCGCTCTTCCCAAATGTCGCCCTCCCTGGCCAAGAATATTCTATGCACACATTGTTGCTGGAATTGTAACATTTGCAAAGTCTTAACGTTCTGAGTCTCATATCCACAAGGATAATTTTTCTCGGAGTTGTAGCTGGACAAATCCTCACTGAAGGGTGTAAGTTTCCAAGATCGTGGAATTGGAGTTCCAGGAGGCCTCTCGGAGACCTTTGTGCAGCTCCGCTCCAGATAGATGAGGAGCCTAAAGCTCTAGAGCTCAGGGGACCTGATCGCAGTCTCCCATCAACTGAGCCTGAACCTGGACCCAGGCCTGCCAAGACGCGGGCAGTGCCCAGCACCTTTCAGACTGTCTTGCATCTTCTTCCACTTCCTGCCTCACAATGGCGCTGCCTGAGAGCTTTTGGTGTGGGACAGGGTAATGAGCAGGGAGGAGTTTGGGGGAGTGAGGGCAAGTAAGCCTCCCACCTCAGCTCTGCCACTTACTCTACTCTTTTGGGCTGGGTAGTGCACTGGTCTGAGCCTAAGTTTCCAGTTGTTGTTGTAGGCTTGCTTGTTTTTTTCTTTTGTTTGTTTTGTTTTGTTTTTGTTTTTTAAGATTTATTTGAGAGAGAGCACATGCAACTGTGAGTGGGGAGAGGGGCAGAGGGAGCTGGAGAGGATCTCAGGCAGACTCCTCACTGACCGTGTAGCTTGACGTGGGGCTTGATCTCACGACCCTGAGATCATGACCCGAGCTGAAACCAAGAGTTGGATGCTCAACCGACTGAGCCTCCGAGGCACCCCAGTCTTGCTTATTTTGAGGATGTGAGGGTGTAGATAACCTAGTAGGGTACTTGATGAGGATATAGGTCAAGGAATGTTGCTGTCTCTCTTCCTCATGCTCCTCTGCCTCTCCAGAAAGCAATCTGCTGGCCAGCCTGCCTCCCGAGTGCGGTCCTCACCATCGGTGGTGACAGCCGCTGCTGTTAGCTGTGAACTGTGAACTGTGAACCCCAGTGCTGGGCTGTTGGGCCAAAGGGAGTGCCTGATGGGCATCTGTCATCTGCAGAAGGCTTCTGGAGGCTGGCTTCCTCACTGTGGCCACGAGTCTTCATTTCACAACCTTTCTCAAGTGATGCATTTCAGGGCACGCTTTCAAAATTATTCCATCAGAAGATTTCTGGGTCCACAGATGACTGTAGATCTGGACATCTCTTCCCCTAGGTATGTTGCCTTTCATATCATTGACATGTTCCTTTTCTCGCCCCTGTTAGCACTCTCATCTCAGTTCCAGGGCAGAGCAGGCCTTTGTCAAGGGGAAGAGGGATGAGTATTGATTCCCAGCACTGGTAGCCTTGCCTGGCCATGCCCATTCCTACCTCGTGCAACAAGTCCTCCTTTTTCTTTGTGGCTCTGTGCTCTTCTTCAAAGTGTGCTCCTGAGGCCTTCCTATCTTTGAGCTCATGGAGGGGTGAAGTCTTTCTCTGGGTCTGCATCCGAATCCATGGTCCAGCCTGGTCTTGACCAGCAGCCAGTCTGTGACCAGAGAGGGTGAAGGGGGACCCCTGTTCAGGGATCCTGGAACCACACCCTAGCAACCGTTGTCTTGAGACTGTCTGGCCTCAAGGAGCTGTCTAGCAAGTAGGGGAAAGATCAGAGATAAATAACTGGTACCCTGTGATGACTGCTGCCATGAAAGTGGGCACGAAGCCAGAGCTGGCACAAAGGAGGAAGGAGTCTGTATCTCTCGGCAGAAGCCAGCACGGGCTCTAGAAGAGGTGACATTTAGATTAAGTTCCCATACACCAGCCAGGTGGGGAGGGACAGTCCAGGCATAGTGAATCCCTAGAAACACTTCTTGGGTTCTCCAAAGATCCTCTCCTCAACAGTCTCTCCTCCTACAACCTTAGAGATACCTTGATTAATGGTGGTTTCCTCGGTGTCCCTGGTAGAACCAGGGGGAAGGACAAAGCGTGGCGCTCAATATGGAAACAGCTAGCATCAAGGTCCCAAAAATTCTCACTCAAGGTAGCCATTTACAAATCTCTTCCGGGTTGCTGTCTGACGGTGCTGTTCATCCTTCCAAGCTGGATCTGTTCATAACAGTGGAATTACAAAAAAATAGAAAATATCTGATTTCAATACAGTGCATTGAGTGTTGACCCTATAGTGGTTAGGAAGGCCGACTGTGTCACTTACTAGTTCTGCGACCTTCAGCAATGACTTCACCCTTTCTGCCTCAGTGTTCTCATCTGTAAAATAGGGGCAATGTTGGAAGCAACCTCACAAAGTTGCTAGGAGGAGTAGTGGGTGTGTCTTAATAAAAAATGTATATTTGTTCTTTGTCCCAGTTCTTGACACAGAACTCCTAAATCCCTTGGGATTTCCTAGATTATAGGAGGATTTTTTTGTTCTGTGGTGACTCTTAGTGGACCTCTAGATAGCTTCAGGATGTGGTCTGGTCACCAGAAAGATCAAGCCTTATTTAGAAACCTAACACTTTCTGCCCAACTCTCTGACTCTTGGAGAGAGAGGCTGGAGGTTGAGTGAATGCGCAATGGCCAGTGATTTAATCAATTATACCTACAGAATGAAACCACTGTAAGAACCCCTAAATTGGGGGTTTGGAGAGCTTCTGGGTTGCTGGGAGGTTGGCACAGAAACTCTGTGCCCTTTCCCCCACATCTAGCCCTCCCAGGGGCTCCTCCATTCGGTTGGTCCTGAGCTGTATCCTTTATAATAAACTGACAACAAGTACTTTCCTGAGTCCTGTGGGTTGTTCAAGCAAATGATCAAACTTTCGGATAGGGCTGTGATCTGAGTCTACAGCTGGCCAGTGACAACATGGGATTTGCAACTGGCATTTGAAGTGGGGGAGTCTTAGGGGACTGAGCCCTTCACCTGTGGGATTTGATGCTATCAGGTGGTTAGATAGGGTCAGGAGAGATTGAATTGGAGGACACCCAGGTGGAACCTGGGGAACTGGAGGACTTGGTTTTGGTGTGGAAAAAACCTAGAAGTGCTGTGAGTAGAAACAGCCCAGAGTGGGCTTATTTGGCAAACAGAATAATGTCCCTGCATGGTGTGGATACTCTCAAACCGAGAGCCTGTGAGTCTGTCACTTTTCCTGGCAAAAGAGACTTTGCAGCTGTGATTAAACATCTCGGGATAGGAAGATCCTCAAGCATACCCAAGTGGGCCCCATGTAATCACAAGTGTTATATACAAGTCGGAGGCAGAAGAGCCAGTGGATGGAGAAAGGGCCACAGTCAAGGAACACAGGAAGCTTCTAGAAGCTGGAAAGCACAAGGAGCAGATTCACTCGTCGAGCCTCCAACAGGATCACGGCCCAGCTGCCACCTCGATTTTCACCCCGTGAGACAAATTTGGAACTTCTGACCACCAGAACTGTAAGGTAATAAATTTGTGTTGTTTTAAGCCACTAAGTTTGTAGTGATTTGTTACAGCAGGATTGGGAAGCTCAATCGATGCTTGTAAAGTGCTCAGAACAGAGCCTGGCAGTTGGGGAACGCTCCCTAAGGTTGCCTATTATTGTCGTGATTTCTTGCCACCAAGTTCTAGGTTAGACTCAGCGTTGCTCTCGTGTTGAAGGGAAACAACAATGACATCACCCACCATCAGCAGCAAGTTCCTGACATCCTGAAGTTTACACTCAGGAGGAGGGGACAGATTACAAACAAAGAAGTAAATAAATGTTAGTGAGGAGGAAGAAAGCAAAGGGGACCAACACTGCTGAGCTCCCGAGGTTGGGGTCTGTGAAAATGAGTGGCAAAGTTGGGAAATTTCTTAAGACAACGTGACATTGGAGCAGAAGGCCTGAGTACAGAAGGGACAGGGCCCAGTGGGGCTCCCCAGGCAGATGAAGCAGCCAGCTTGAAGGCCCAGATGATGGTGAGCATGGGGGCGTGCGGGGTGGAACAGAGTGAAGGGGGCAGGGAACATCTGAGGAGTTGGGGGCTGGAAGGTGAGGGGGGGAACAAGGGGTCTCCGAGGTCATAGTAAGAAATTGGGATTTTATTCTGAGTGCAGTAGGGAGCCATGGGAGATTTTGACTGTAGCAAAACCACACTTGACTTTCGTTTTAAAAGGATCACACAAGGTCGGGTCTTCCCATTGAAGGGGGCTATTGGCATTTGGGGTGGGGATGATACTTCGCTGTGAAGGCCCATCCTAAGCATTTAGGATACTTATCCCCCAGGATTTAAAGGTGGTAAGCATCATTGCGAAAGCCCTAAATGTTTCTCTGTATTTTCAGACACCTTGAGGAGGGGGTTGGGCAAGTGGAACCACCCGGAACCACAATAACTCTGTGGAACCACAGAGATAATGTGAAGGCGAGACCCTGAGGACTGTGCAGGGAGCAGACAAACCAGTTGGGAGGAAGGTAACTGGGTCCAGGTGGTGGAGGCGGGGAAGGCAGAGTTTATGGGATTTAATGATGAACTGGATGTTAGAGAAAGCTGAGGGCAACGAGGACCCCGGGGTTTTTGAAAATTTGTCATCTGTCCCCCAGGTTCATTTGTTTGATAGAGAGAATTACATTTGACTTTTGAGATGCCCATAGGAGATGTTTGGGTGGGTCTATGAGACTGAAGATCCGAGAGAGTGAGGAGGCAGAGAGAAGTTTGGGGGTCCCCATCGTTGTTAAAGCCAGGAAGCTGGCAGAACTCACCCGGGGAGAGAATGTGAACAGAGTGAGGTCCAAAGACAGAATCTGGGCCTCTGGACGCTCAGAGTTCAGGAAGTGGAGAGGATCCAACAAAGGGGACGGAGAAGGAGCTAGCCACTGCAGAAGGAGAACCAGTGGAGTGAAGGTTCTGGAAGCTTGCTGGAGAGAGCGTGCCAGGCTCTGCGTGGGGCCCTCTCAGGTAAATCACCTCATCAGCCACTCACATGAGCCCTGCAATGTTCACGGTATATTGCAGAGAGAATGCTCTTCGAGAACATAATCCTTTTGCTTTAGCTTTTGGCAAATGAAACGTGTAATTTCAGGGTGATTATTCTCATTGTGCAGCATGTTGCCCTTACTTAGCATCTGCTGAGCAGAGCTCGAACGTGGTGGGCGATGGGTGTTCTTATGTGTGATGACACTTGTGTGGCCTCTATCATTTTGGGGGGGCTCAGGAAGACAGAGGAAGCCACCATTGATTCAGGTGGGTTATTCCTGAACATCAGTCAGCTGTTCCTGGATTTGGTGCATGTTTCTAGTAAAATGCAAGTGATCAGAAACTACCATAAAATCAAGCAATTTCTCTAGCCCCTTCAAAAGCCAATGAATCCTAGCATGTTTTAAATTTTACCTCCATTTTATTTAAAACAATGTAAACCTGTGCTCTTTTTTATGGAAATGGTACCTCTACTTGATGAGGTTGGGTACAGCCACTGAAAGTGCTTCTGAGCAACAAAAAATAATGTGGAAGAATGCTTACATTTTAAAGATAAGAAGGCAGACTATAATGTTGTAAATTCAATAGATCAAAACCATGTAATGTAAACAAAACAGATGTGCAGAAAAAAACCCCAGCATTATAGAGAACCTGCCAAAATATTAATAGTGGTTTTCACTGGGGGGGATAGGAAAGTGAGAAATATATTTATCTTTTTTCTTGGTTTTATGTGTTTTCCAGATTTTTGTAATGTGTATGTATTGTTTTATTCATTTATTTATTTTTTTTAAAGCAAGTTTTTTTTTTTTTTTTAGATTTTATTTATTTGTCAGAGAGGGAGAGAGAGCGAGTGAGCACAGGCAGACAGAATGGCAGGCAGAGCCAGAGGGAGAAGCAGGCTCCCCGCCGAGCAAGGAGCCCAATGTGGGACTCGATCCCAGGACGCTAGGATCATGACCTGAGCCGAAGGCAGCTGCTTAACCAACTGAGCCACCCAGGCGTCCCTGTGTATATATTATTTTAGAACACTGTTGCTCAATAGAACTTTCTACAGTGATGGAAGTAAGCTATGTCTCTACTGTGTAATCCACAGCCACTGGCCACCAATGGCTACTGTACACTTGAAATGTGATTGGCGTGACTAAGGAACTGGATTTTTAACTGTACTAAATTATACTAAGTGAAGTGTAAATTTAAACATTTTTTAAAAAGATTTTATTTATTTGAGAGACAGAACCAGCAGTGGGGAAGGGCAGAAAAGGAGAGAGAGTGAGAGAGAGAGAAGGAAAGAGAGAGAGAAGCAGACTCCCTACTGAACAGGAAGCCCGACATGGGGCTCGATCCCAGGACTCAGAGATCATGACCTGAGCCGAAGGTGGACGCTTAACTGACTGTGAGCCACCCAGGCGTTCCAGTCAGGTGTAAATTTTAGTAGCAATATGAGGCTAGTGACTATGGCATTTGACAGTGCAGTTTTAAATTGAAAAAATGTTATGAAGAAATGTATATCTCAAAATAGCTGTCAAAATAATATTTAAAATATTTATAATAAGTAAATATTTAAATGTATTTACTGTTATCAAGATTTGAAATTTTATTAATATATGGAAGTTTGACTTCATAATAGGGACTATGGACAAAGCACAAGAAAACATTCGGGTTTTTATTTCAGTAGTTTATTTTCTGGTTCCATAGAAAAATGATTCAGCATTAAGCTTGTTTGTACCTCAGTTCAGTTTCAGACTAGAAAGAAACAATCACCCGGATGTCCTTAGATGTTGTTCTGCAACAATTTTCTGCTCTTATGAAACATTCTTTTGTAAACATTTCTAGATCTTTACACAAGTTTCTACCATGTGAGTAATACGTTTTGAGGTGGGAACAAACCTTGTTATCCCCACTTTACAGGTGGGAAAAATAAGGTCCATGAAGGTTTGGTTCCCAAAGACATGAAACAAGCAAAGGCAAAGCCTCTTGGCTTTTGAAGCCCATGGGATGGGGATTTTATCATCTTTCACAATACAGACAGAACAATTTCTGATAAGTTGTCTTGGGAAGGGGTCTACCCTAAGGAACTGGAAAGATTTGCTTTTTAAAAGTCCTTTCAAAGAAGGCTTTTTGTTTGTTTGGTTAGTTGGTTTTGGGTTTGTTTTTTGGCTTCTAGAGCTGCCTTCATTCACAGATCAAGTCACTGCACATCTATCAAAGGTTGCCCTTTATTTGGTTGGATCCGTGTCTTCATGCTTTCCATGGAATGCCAAGCAAAAACTTTTTGTCTTTTCATGTGAGCTTACCCTGGACCCCCAGCCCCAAAACTCTATTTCTCTTCCTTCTCTCCACCACACACAGTCCCTTTTGCAGTTAGCCAATCGTAAATCCACATCTGAGATTTAGACAGATTCAGAAAGGTGCTGAGCTCTCCTGGATCACTGAGGCGCAGTGGACATGGTATGAGAGGCGCAGTGGACATGGTATGAGAGAGATGAATGCTTCCCACCCCCTCCCCATGCTCTCTTCATCGGTGGCCCCAAGTGTTTGCTAAGAGCATCAGGCACCAGTGCAATTTAGCACAAATGAATCCACTGAATATTTTCAAACCTGAAGTCTCAAACCTTTTTGGTTCAAGTTCTAGGGAAAGGTTGGAACCAGTTGGGATTTAAAAAAAAAAAATAATAAAAAATTGGTTCACCCATCTGTCAGAACGGCCAAGAAATATTCACATGAGGACTATCCAAAAAAATGAAGAGTAGCTCTTTTCCAAGACAGATCTCTGGAACTCTCTCCCTCCCTTGCTCAGAACCACTTCCTCTCCTCAAATCTCACTTTAAAACCTTCCTGTTTGTTTTAGCCTATGACTGACTCAGGCCCCATTCATCTTTCTTTCCTCTCTCCCCATGACCACATCCTTCCACTCTCCCCTCACCGTGCACCGTGAGAACACTCGCCTGCCTCTTTCCTCCCTCCATTCCTCAGCCCCTTGCCTGTTACCTGCCGACCTGCATGGGCCACCCTCGCCTGGTCTGGACCTGTCTGGAAATGTGAGGCCCTTCTCCACGTGGGTGTCTGCACCTCTCCCCACTTCTCAGAGGGGGAAGGAATGAATTCCAATGGTACTTCTGCCTAAAGAGGTACTTCCCCAGTAGTATTTTTAGGTTACAGGCTCAGACACTCCAGAAACAGAACAAAGATCTGTGAAGATACCAACTCCCAGCCCTGTTTCCCTTGGGATACTTCAGGTAAAGCCTGAAGGAGAGGTGGGAATAAAACACAGGCCACATCAGAGCTGCAGTTTCACCTGCAGAATAGAGTTATGATCATCTCAACTGCGCTTCCTGTTTCCTTCAAGGAACAAGGAAAGTAAATCCCCACTCAGGTTCCGAGGCAGGACCGGCCCTGGGAAAACAGTCCGAGAGTAAGCACAAGTGTCTGAACTCTTTTCATACGGGCTGTGCACGCGGTGCTTTCTGAAGAGCGTGGTTTCAGCGTGGCTCCCTGGACAATGGGCATGCTCTGGTTTTCCCAGGATGCATTGCTTCCTTCCATCCCAGGATGGAGCCTTCTCCCACAAACGTGGAGGCAGGTCAGTCTGCTCCTGTCCCCACAGTAGCTCACTGCTAACGCCCCCAGAAATACACCCGGAACTGAACGCCCTATGTTTTTTCTGATGAAACACATACTCCTTTCATTTTTGGTCTTAATCTCAAGAACAACAGCCGCCATTTTTCTAACACGTATTGTGTCCAAAGCACATTTGTATTTGTTAAGGGACGTATATAAGGCAGGAATTAATATTCCCATTTTACCCTTAAAGGACTAAGGTCCACGTGATTTGTCTAAGGTCACAGAGGTATTGAGTGAGGGAGTTGGGATCTGTAAGAATCTTCTAGAGGAACTGCAGACCAACCATAGATATCCCCAGATGAGCACATCAGTGACTGAAAAGGAACAGTCTGGAGAGGCTTCCACATGGTGGGGAATGCAAATAACTCTCAGAGTTGGCTTTCCTGTGGCTTTTGGAGGTTTTCTTTGATTTTTGGTGGCAGAGCTTCTTTTTAAAAACATTTTTAAATTTTTATTTATTTATTTATTTTATCATACTTGCCTCATTTAAAAACTTAAGAGTGAGTCAGTGTCACCCAAGTTCACTCAAACAGGTGGCAGAATGATGGGGCTCAGAATTATGCTTGTGGTTAAGCCCACCTGGGATTAAGTCTGGAGCAGTTAATTCTGCTGAATGAAAAACAAATAATAAAAAACACATTTAAGAAAATCTGGAAAAAAAAGGTAGTAAGAAATAGAGCCCAACCTAACTTTTGAAGGCTATATCTATAATAGAAAATTTGTTCATTGTGTATTGTGTATTATTTTTCCTCCCTTTTTTTTGTGTATTGTATATTGTGTATTGGTTTTCCTCCTTTCGGGGCCTTCTTTACTATCCAGAAGTTTCTCTGAAGGTTGGTGGCTTTGCCCTTCCACTTGGATGGCAAGGTAAATCCAGTTCATGAGATCTTGGACAGATGTGACAGATGATTTGGGGAAAGTCTAGGGAGAGAGAGAGAGAGAAAGAGAGAGGACCGTTAGCAAGGGACCCTAGGATTTTGAGAGCATTTCTGAGTGTAGGTGGGGAAAAGGGAGCAGTGGCCGGGAGGGTACACACCCGGTGCCTCCATGCCACACCTGGGAACGGTGACTTGAGAAGTGACTGACGTGTTTATTTGGTGTGAGGTCAGCCACAGCTCTGAGGGCAATAACAAGATCCTCATAAAAATAGACCCCCCAGGCTGGGCCGCCAGTCAGCTTGTTCCAAACAAGGGTGGTGGCCTAATAAATAAGATGTTGCTTTTAACTCTCTGTAGGTGGTGGATTCATTCACTTTGTGGATTACACAGCTTCTTCCTTGCCCTCCCAAGTCAAGCCCATCGATTGCTTTTTAACCCCTTCCTGGCTGTGTGCTGCTTCTTTCAGGTGGAGAAAGAGGAAGGGGAAAAAAAGACTGGATTTCAGCGACTATGAACTAAGAAGGTTCTATGAAGAATGAATTGAAGCTATTGGTAGAAATTAGGGGGGAAAAAATCTAGCTGTAAGGACAGCACCTAAAGACCTGAACTTTTGAGTGGACCCCAGATGAATATGAATGAAGAGCACAGCTCTCTTTTGCAAAGCTGACGCAGGACGAGGATGTTCCCGCCAGCGGGCTTCTGCTTGTCATCCTTTCAAATGTCATGGTCAGACCTAGGAAATTCCCTGGGAAGTCCCCTGCATCCCAGGGTCTGCAGTTTGTCCATTTGAGTATGATTCTGTTGGATCTTGAGAGACTGTTTGATCTTCAGGAAGCTATTATTATGAAATAGATCTTTCTGCGGTGAGGAGACACAGTGGTACCCGGAGAGATGAACGGGGTGGACCGGGAAATGGGAATCTGCGTCCTGACTTCAGTCCTGCCCCTACTGGCCTGGTGGCGTGAGGAAAGGCCTGTTTTTCCCTGGTCTCCACGGCTTTCTCTATACGACGAAACGCCATGGAGATGGCGAGAGTGGAAGCAGTGGCCGTCGTGATTGTAAGTGCTCACGAAATGATTTCCTTCGTGCCTGCCTACCTCGTTTTCCATCTGTAAAGTGAAGGATCGAACTAGAAGATCTCTGAGGCCCTTCCACTCTAACACTTTGTGGCTTTGTTGACAACACCTTAAAATGTTCCCGCTAACACTCTGGTGAACCTTGGTCTATCAGATTCTATACAATCATAGTGTTGGCTGACATAGCATTGTCATTTTGACTTTAAGTATTAGAATTTTTATTTTCCCTTCTCCTGATTTTTAACTCAAATTTTCTATTTTATGGCTTTTGCTGGGTTAAGTTGTCACAAATCCTTCAGACAATAAGAAAAAGAAAAGTATAAAAAAACTGGATGGAAATAATGTATTAACTGAAAGCCAGGAAATAAGATGAATACTAATACTAACCAATTGCTTTTACTGGACACTTACTGTGCATGAAGAGCCGTGCTAAGCACTTTGTAAACATTAGGTCACTTTATTCTCATTGTGACCCTGTGAAGCCATAATTATCACCTTCACTTTATAAATGAGGAAACAGTATTAGAGATATCAAGCAAGTTGTCCAGGGTCACACAATTAGTGAGTGGCTGAGCAGAACCACAAATCCAGGTCTGGCTAAATCAGAGCAGTGGTGTGCGGACAAGCAGACACACACACACACACACACACACACGCGCACACAAAAGGCAAAAACAAACCCCTAAATCTTAATGTGCACCATTTATTGATTTCCATTCTGTGAATACTCCCACTGCAGCCAATTTCAAGTCATCAACAACTTAAAATCCGCACAAAAAATTCCTGAATAGTTAATAATACGCACTTGCAAGCTTGTAGAAGCCAAGCCCAAACCTCTCCAAGGACAGCCTATGTTGATAAGCACTGGGCAATACTGTCTCCCTGCATCAGAGGGTGGGGCTGATGGAAAAGAAGGAAGAAAGGGGAGATGGACAGAGAAAGTAAGAAGAAACAGATTCATTCATTTGTTCGTCTATTCATGCATTCCACAAAGCCTTACTGAACACCAGCTTAGTGCTAACACTTGTGATCTGTGCTTAGAACTCAGGCATGAGTCAAAGGAACAGGGTGCCCAAGCCTAAGAAGATCAGAGTGTGTTGGGGAGAGAGAGACAGGTAAACAAATATTTTCAAACATTATGCTATAGAAGCATGTATGAGTCTGTGGGAATCCAGGTGAGGGAGGGACCGATTCTGCCTGATGGCCCTGAAGGATGGCACATGTAATTGGAATTACATGTAATTGGATGGCACATGTAATTAGGCACATGTAATTGGAAGCTTCCAGGTAACATAATTTTTGCTTTCTTTCCAATTTATGGAGTGGCTTCTTTCACTCGAAAGGTGTGCTCAGCTCAGCTGCATTTCAGAATGAAATAGAGAAACCAAAGATGAGGTCAAGAAAGGGACAATGAGGCAGAAAGTATGCTCCTTCAGTTAGGAATGTTGTCTGAAGGACCCCTGTATTCTTCTTCTTCTTCTTCTTCTTCTTCTTCTTTTAATATTTTATTTATTTATCTGACGCAGAGAGAGAAAGAGAGCAAAAGAGTGCACAAGCAGGGGGAGGAGGAGAGATAGAAGTAGGCTCCCCGCTGAGTAGGGAGCCTGATGTGGAGCTCTGTCCCAGGACCCTGGGATCATGACCTGAGCCGAAGGCTTAACTGACTGAGCCACCCAGGTGCCCCCGAACCCCTGTATTCTGGACACCAAGCACCATGCTGGTATTAAGTAAACACTCAATAAATATTTGCTGACTAGATGAATCATTGGTGAATAATGAGTCGTGAGCTTCACAGAAGGTTGTTTGAGGAAAAGAGACTAAGAATCAGTAAGAAGTCAGCGGTGAAAGTAGTGATCCCTAAGCATATACGGGATCGTGTAGAGGCATAGAGCGAGGGTCCACACGGAACGTGGGCAGAGCTCTGTCTGCCTGTGCTTGCTCTCTCTCTCTCTCTCTAATAAATAAATAAAATCTTAAAAAAAAAATGTGGGCAGAGACTCCAGATGCTCAGAGTGGAGGGGAAGTAGACGGAAGAGGGTGTGTCCTGGAGTGTGTGTTCTGCCACATGGTATGCCAGTTGGGGGGCAGAAGATGGGGCCAATCTCTGGTTCCCAGAAATTACATCATGCATTGCTTTGTTTCTAAGTTCAATTTGGGAGAAGCTAAAAAGTAATTGGTATAGTAAAGTTTGAGGATTTTGATGATTTCTTTCACGTTTATTTGTTCTTCTCTCCCTCTGATTATCCAAGAGGAGTCCGCTGTTATGGAAAACCAGGGGCAGTTTGAATATTCTTTCTTGGGACTCTGGAGTGTCTTTATAAGAAGTGTGTCAGCATGTGTATTTTGTAGATGATTTTCCTTATAACAGTGCCTTATATTTGTAGATGGTTCCCAGATTCTAAAGATCTTTCCCCTAATTACTCTGGCTGGGTCCTCCAAACAATCCCATGAGGACGTTAGAGAATACGCCAAGGTCTCTATTTTACTAAAGGAGAAAGTGTAACTTGAAGACGTCAAGGCACTCACCCAGAGTCCTACAGCTGAAGACAAGGGCCCAGGATCATTCGTTCTGGATGTGGAGAACTTTGTATTCACCCAGCTTACCTTACACTGATGCTTACCTCCTGGCGCGGACAAGTCCTGGATGAGGTACGTCACCAGCTAGAAATGGTCCTTCTGACTTTTTGAGAACTTCTTTCCCCTTAGTGAAAAACTGAACCTGTTTGCCCCAGTTTCTCAGCCACCTTATGACTCGGCGAGCAATTGCTTTAACTCTGACAAAATGAGGCCACCTCCAACCTAAATGGAGCCCGTTTTCAGAGTAAGACCCTGAGTGGAGACAGCTCTTTCCTGGAAGGATAACAAAAGCATGCTTTTGTGTGTATTTCACTTGATGGAAAGGAATCCCCAGCGAGGCCATTTTTTCCCCCTGAATTCTCTCAAGTCCAGAATGTAGCCAAGTTTCCAAGATAATCTCAGAAGAGCCATTCATCTATGAAGATGGCCAAATTGTCTTCCAGCTCAGTAGACAGGGTATGTTTGAGAGGGGAGGTGTGGGGGTGAAGAGAGGGGTGTGGGGAGAGGATGAGGGAGACAGCAAGGGAGTGAGATGTATGAGGGAAAAATGTGTGCCGACAAACGCTGACGGGGAGAGGAGAGAAACCAAAGGGCCAGCCCTGACTCTGGGGTCCGACCTGCCAGGGACACTTCCAGCTGATCTTTTTTAGGACCTGTCACAGTCTGCCTGGCGAGCTGTCACTTCTCATCACTTGGCTCTCACTGAGGATCTTTGTGTCATCACTGTCATGAAGAGACCTGGCAACTGGCGCAGAATTTCCTGGGGCGCTACCTGATACGCCATTATTCGCCTCTTATCATCTTCGCAGAGTAGTTAGGCTGCTGTCAGAGGTAATGGAGACCATGCCACTAAGAAAATTGGCTTTAATTTATTTATCAATTGTTTCTGCATACCACAAAAGCGGCCTCCTACTTTACGGCTGGGTCTAAGGTATTTGAGAGCCCCTGAAGTTCATGGTTTTCCGGTATTCTAAGTTCTACTTATGGCCTTTCCTGTATATGACACACAACACCACCCTTGTGGCTTGCAGGCCGTTTTCTTCTTTGCTTTCTTTAGTCACAAATCATCCTGAGGCATCCCTTAAGTGCATTTGTATTGTTAAGTGCACCGGCTTGATTTGGTGTTAATTCAATTTGAGTGCCCTTAATATCTTGTGGGGGTGATGCAATGCAGGCCGCCTGTACCTTGTAAAGTCGGGTCCCAGGTCTGCCTGGGAGCAAAGCACCTTTCCCATAGCCATTTACCAAAGTTGCTGATAAAATTTTCATAAGGGAACCTTTTTAGTCTGACCCTATTGTGTTATTCTACCATTAAGTCTCAGAGAACGGAGCTGGCTTCTAGTGACAGCTTATCACGTTCTCCATTATTGCTGCCTGCCCCAAAGAGCTAACCGCCTGGGTGGAGTGCAGGGCCCTCCCTCCCTCCTGCTTCTGGTCCGTTCTGGGAAAAGCTTATGGGCCCTCACCTAGGGGCTAATGTGCAATCGGCTCTCTGTGGGTGCCAGGGAACGGAGCGCTCTTCCTGTCGAACTGGCTCCCCTTTGCCTTGGAAAGCTCCAGAGGCCCTGAAGCACTTTGCGGAGCCTGCCTGATAGGAAAGGGAGAAGTGAAACAGAGTTAAGAATCACAGAGCCCTTTACTTACATCTCGGTCCTCAAAGCTGGGATGGTCATGCCGACACACTACCCTGGAGCTCCACTGTGAGCCTATCTGGAAAATGGGAGTTAGAAATCTGGCAACATCATTAGCTCAGAAAGGTGTCCAAAATCTGGGGTTGGGTGTACCTGCGTTTGCATCTGAGCTCTGTGGCTTCTGTCCTCTGTGACCTTGATCTGGTGAGTGGGCCTCGGAGCTTCAGTGCTCCCTTCTGTGAAATGGGAATGTCGGCTTGTACCTCATGGGCTTTGTGTGGGGATTGAGACCACACATGTGAAGAGCACGAAACATGTGGCACAGAATCAGGCTCTCTTACGGTTCCCTCAGAATCCAGAGGCCCTTGGAGGTTGTGGGTGAGAAAGCTGGATCAGACAGTGAAGAAATTATTTGGATGGCACAAGAGGAGGAAGAGAAAGAAGTCAGGTCTCCTGGCCCCATGGAGGTCCCTTTTTACCTTTCCCACTGTGTCCCCAGTACTGTCCCTAGGCATCGGGGGCTTGGGTGGATTTAGGGAGCATAGGACCACTTTCCCCCTCCTTGATGATGACATTTCTTTTCTTTTTTTTTTTAGATCTTATTTATTTATTAGAGAGAGAGAGCATGAGAGAGATAGAGAGCATGAGCAGGGGGAAGGGCAGAGGGAGAAGTAGCCCCCCTTTTGAGCAGGGAGCCCAATGCAGGACTTGATCTCCGGACTTAAGAATCACTACCTGAGCTGAAGGCAGTCGCTCAACCAACTGAGTCACCCAGGCGCCACATGATGATGACATTTCTTCACATCCGACTGTCTTCTCGTCATTCTGTCTTATTTTGCAGTCTGTGTCTGGGGAACGGCTGGAGCCTGCCTAACAATGTGAGGCCCGGTTTCTGCCACTCTGGGGGCGAGGTGGGGTAGTATGGCAGTCAGAGAAACAGAAATGGAAGACACGTTTTCAAAACACTTAAATGTTATTCTTATCAAAGCAATACATATTTCGTTGTAGAAGTGAGGACATCTAGATAAAAAGAAGATACTGGAGTGAAAGGGGAAAAAAAATGGTCTGTGATCCTTCCACCTGGAACACCGAGATCCTGTGCTGTTGTTTTCTTCCGGCCTTTTCCTAAGCACGCATGCGCACACACGCATGCACAGGCACGCGCACGCGCGCACCTTCACGTTCTTGGCCACAGGAGTATGCTGTCCCGTTTCGAAGCAGGGTCTGGCTCCACCCCTTGGACAAGTGTTTTAGTTTTTCTCCTACTCTTTCCTCATCTGTAGCCTAGAGCTTCGTGGTCGTGCTTCCTCAGGGGGTGAGTAAGAGAAGCAGAGGGACCGAGGCACATGAAATACAGCTCCTGGTAGGCAGCATGCTCTGTAAAGGGCTGTCCTTTATGATTATTATTAGGTACACTTGAAATCTGGAATCATACAGTACGTTCTGCTCAAAGTGTCGTTTTTAATGGGGCTGTTGCTTCTTTGCTCACAGCCAGTGGCTAGACTATGATGCTTTCTTAAACTGCTCACCCAGACAGGATCTGGAGGTGGGGCTGAGCCCTGCCTGCCTCCTGACTCAGGATGCCAGGGCTGAATGGTGGTAATGATGTGTTCCTTTTCAGAGGGGCCTGCCAATATTAGTTTATGAATCCTCACAGCCTGACTCTTGGTGGGCTTTAGTAGACCCATTTTACAAGAGGGAGAATGAAGACAGGTATCGAAGTGGCTATATGAGGTCTCCAAACAAGTAAGGAGGACTTCTGGCTGCCAAGAAATGAGCAGGGCAGCCCACAGAAATGGCTGGGCTGCTCTTGGGCTTGGGATTTGCCTTTATTGCACTTTAGGCCTACATGGAGCAAGGAGTAAGGCTGAAATCGCAAGGCAGATTTTCAGAAACAAGTATTTCATGACAAAGCTCTGCGAGTCTCATTAATGTGTTTGTGTGTGTGCATATGTGTGTGTTTGTGTGTGTGTGTGTGTTACCATTTTGGTTTTCTTGAGACTCCCTTTGTGGGATTCAAACATTTGGAGAGTGAAAAAGGATAATTTTAAGCCAGGCTGGGCAAGGCAGGGTCATAAATCTGGAAGGAAGATCAGGGTCCAGCTGTGTGTGTGTGAGTGTGTGTGTGTGTGTGTGTGTGTGTATGTCCATGGGCATATGTGCTCACGTGTGTATGTGTATGTGCATGTGCATGTGTCGAGAGCACATGCATGGAGAAGGCACCCATGTGTGAGCTTCTTGGCATGAGCGGGACAGACAGGGAGAGGTCTCGGAAGGGAGCTGGTTTGGGTGAAGTATTGGCGAACGCTCGGGACACTGAAGGAGAAGAGGCTCTGGTCAGGGAACTGTGCCGCATCAGAATTTATAACAGATTAGCTTATCTACCCCTTGATCTTCAAGGGTATATGGGGAGCTGCGGATGAGGCATTTCTGCCTTGATTTTCCCAGGATTTCCCTCAGCACAGCCCAAGGCGGTGAGAGCTTGCTTCTCACACCCCCTCTCAGGTCATTTGGAGAAGGCTGACAGTGCCCAGGAATGCTGACATGCTTCAAAACATCACACAAGAAAGAGCCCACTCGGATTCCTAAGGGGAGTTGCTGTCGGTCTATCCTGAGCTCTGGCAGCATCGGTTCTGATTGCCATGGCCCCCCTCCCGCCGCAGACGCCGCAAATCCATATTCATCCTGACTGTCTGCAGGACTCCCCTCTCCCTGTCCATCTGTCTGTCTGACTCTCCGTTTCTTGCTCTCTGCGGCAAAGGGTGCTCGCTAACATGAAAAAGGGAGCGGGCCAGGATGTTCCAGATGAGCTGCTGCTGGTGATGTTGCTTTAAACGCCGATGAGCTGAAGTGGCTGGCAAAGAAAGAGCGGGGTGAAGTGTGGTTTGACGTCTCGGGGCTCTGGGGAGATGATTCATACAACATGAGCCCTACGGGGTCCTCGCTTAAATCCCAGCCTAGCACCCCCGGCTGAACTGGGACTCTGAAGTCCAGCCAAGGAGCGTCCCCGGTCCTGTCTTGACAAACAATTGGTGGGTCAGAGGCAAAGGACAGGGGAGGCATGAGGCTTTCACTGGAAAAATAACCTGCTGGGAAAGAAGGAATTGTATGATGTGTGTGGTGGGGAAGGCCAGCCAGGAAGGACCTGGCTCTCACTTTACAAGGCAGCTCTCTGAAGCCAGAGAGACTTTTTAATTGCCCCAGAGGCCTGTGGGCCTCAGCGCGAGTGGCTATGGCGTAGTTCTGGAATGGTGTAGTGATGGGGGGCTCTGGGCACTCTGGGGCTCTGGGAGCTGTGCTAGGAACCGTGAGGGAGGAAAGCTGCGGATGGGGCTTCGCTGTCCTCAGACTCACCACTAAGGCAGGAGAGGGATGTGGAGGGAAAGAGCTGCCCATTTCCTGTTTGTTTGGGTGCAGGGGGGTCTCTGTTGTCCCCACTTTGGCCTTGGTATGAAAGTGCATGTTTTGGCCACCCTTACTCCACCGCCAGCTTCTTAAAATTTTCCCTGTTCCCACTGGACCCTCTCTCTGCTTCTCTGAGAACATTTGTTCTCTCCTCTTTTGGAATTTGCAGAGCCATCTTTCATTTGGGGACACCCCCTTCCCCAGGGCTTAGATCCTGTAGGTTTGGATTCAGACACTTGGGGGCACGTACCCGAGTTCTGGCCAGGGTGTTGGGTTTAAGGATGGGCCCGTGCACCACGATGGTCTAATCAGAGCCAAACCTGAAACTTCTATTGGAAACGTTTGTTGGAACTTGGGGGATGGAGACAGACATTCTCTTTCACCTGGGGTTGTTGAAATGAGAAGATAAAAGCCTGGCGCTTCTGGGGGCCACCATGAAGAGAAAGTCTGCCTGCCAGTGAAGACACAAGAAAGGGAAGAGTGACAAGGTGGACAGAGACGGGTTTCTGGTGGCATCTTTGGAGCACTGGACTCTAGTCATACTCGAAGTCAGTGTCTACTCCTGGACTCTTCATGTATACCAACCAAGAAATTTCCCCTTTCTTTCATTATCCATTTTTTTCATGCTACATGATTGGAAGTGTGGTATTTAAAGGTCAGTGTGTCTTCTCATCTTTCCCGCACTACTCATCTATTATATCTCGTAAAGTTGAGCCCCCAAATTTCTGTGTTTCCTTCTCTCCCCTTACTCAGGCTTCCCTCCACCCTGTGGTGTCCACTATGACTTGAGTGCAT